AATATAATAAAACTTTATTTTTAGTTGATGTGAGAATTTGATCTTTCTCAATATGCCTTCAACATTGTTGGTTTGATACATAAACAAAGTGATAAGTGATGGTTTTCAAATGATTTAAAATAGGTAAAACTTTAATTTTAATAATATTGAACATGTTGTATATATAAATGATGATAACTCTAATATTATCTTTAAAAGTAAGTTTGGATTTAACTTAACTTTGTAAACTTAGTAAAAAATGTTTATCATTTATATATTCTGACAAGGTCTTATTTTTAGGTAATATGAGACTTAGAGTTTTCCTCGAACATAAAAAAAATATACATTTAACCCTTTTTAATTAAATGATTTAAGATAATTAGTATTTCATGCTAAACATGTATAATTAACTTAAAAGTTAAAACTAATAAAGTTTAAGCTTCGAGTCTAACAAAAAAAAATCATTAACTAACATTAATGATAAAATGAATTATCTAATTTAATGAACATACTTTTATAAAAAAAAATTAGCACACATTCTAGGAACACGTGTGTCACCGACACACTATATAGATTAATGAACATATTAAAAAAAAATAAAAATTAGCACATATTCTAGGAACACGTGTGTCACCAACACACTATATAGATTTTTTTTTATATAAAAAGAATAACTTTTACAATGTTTTACACACCCCTTCACAACACATGAATACTTTTTCCTATGGAGTATAGATTGAGCTTCAGTATCCTTGAATGACTGTTTATAAGACAATAAAGTCAGTAGCAACAAATAGAAGCATAGGCAAGACAACGATTATATTTGTTATTTACAATTTTTACTTTTTTCAAATCAAAACCTGCACTGCATCCGAATCTTCTTTTCACTAGAGCTGGCAAAACGGACATTCGGTTCAGTCCCGGCCCATCACGAGTTGATTATTTGGTGGACCAATCTAATCTGACTCATTTATTAATGAGTTAAAAAAAAATTAAACTCGGCCTGACCTGTCACGGGTTGGTGGGTTAAACGGGTTGACTCACTTAAAAAAAATATAACTTTTTTTTCATCTTCTTGTTTTCTTAATATACAATTACGGTCCAAAAAGCTCATAAAAATTACAAATCACAATCCAATCATTAAAAACTAAAGATTCTTAATTAAGACCCAAGCATTAAATGATAATTTTAAATACAATCAAATCAAATCTAAATAATTTTAAATAGACAAATATAATCCAAAATCATCTTAAATTTCAAATACTGTCCAAAATCATAAAATTACAAATTACAATCCAATAATAAATTATTATTGTCTCATGTTGGACTATACCATAACTCAATAATTATTGTATTTTTTTTAATCACGGGATGATGAGTCAACCTGGTTCACAATAAGTTCAACCCGAATAAGTCAGACTGTTAGTGAGTCAAATTCAAAATTAATCCATATTAAAATTTTTATTTTTTTTTCAACTCAACCCAACTCAAACTGTTGTGAACTAGACTTACACCCAACCTACTTTGACACTACTTTTCACCACCGAAATCCATTATCTTCTTTTGAAGTAAGGAGATGTGAAAGGAAGTGACACTTAATCACAATATTGTTCTTGTCATATATCTACAAACTACACATTCAACTATATCTTTAATTTCCTTCATTTCCTGAGCAATCAACATCCATTATAACAACTACGCAATCAATAATACAATTCAAAATTTGAATTTCTAGAAACTTTTTTAATCTCCATAATTGATTATAATAACTATATTAATTGACTAAAAATGTGAAAATTTAAGTTTTATATGATATCTCGTAAGAAATCATAATAGACGATGACAAAAGTCAATAATCAATTATAACATGAATTTGAATGTTTTATGAAATTTCATATAATGGATTATGAACATCACATAATTTTAAAAGTAAATGTAGAATAAGAAAACTTTTATTTGGAAAATAATAAAAACATTCTGGCTAATATTTTATTATTTAAAACATTAAACTATTAAGAAATTATTTATTTTGTTCTATGTTTGATTGTTTTCTCGTTCCTAATTTGCTGTTTACTTTTTCCTCACATGCTGACATGCAAAGTAGATAAACGACATTTCACTTTCATTTCCTATTCAAAGCACACAAACAAAGACCTATTCCTCTTTTCCTACTCACTTCATCTTGTCCACTTCTCATTGTCATTTTCTCCCATCCTTTTATTTTCTTTACTTTCTGTTTTGTTAATTTTCTCTCTTTCTCTCTAGTTTTTCTGTCCACTTTTTTTTTTCCTCTTTGATTTTTCAGTTTTTCTGTATTTTTTTAATTTTTTTTATTGTGGTTCTCTTCCTCGTGCTTTATTGTCTTTCCATTATCGGACGACAATTAGGTTACGTAAGATATGGTGTCAAATGATGCAAAAGTCTATTGAAATTTTTTCTTCATAGAAATTGTATTGTCAAGGTTTATAATAATGCACACAATCGTCAACACATTGATTTAGTGGTTACGCGCTTTTAATGGAACAATGCTGAAATGTTTACATCTTCTATTTTTATTTTAAGCTCGTCTATTATAACAATCGATTTAAGATATTTATCTAAAATATGTATTTTAGAAATGATTATATTTACATGGATAATTACTCTTATGCTATGTCAATCTTAATAGATAAAAATGCTAAATATCATGATTCATTGTATACTATAAATATTTCTAAACGTGTTTTTTTTAGGTAGACAATTCTAAACCAAACGTTAATACCTAAGCTGCAAATTGGAGTTATTCATACACGGGTTATTTCATTTCTACACCGGTTGTTGTTTTTATTTACTTATTTCCTACAATCTAACAAACTTGACCTTAATAATTCATTGAAAAATGACAACTATTAATGAGTGAAAAAATGTGAAGCGTTATTTAATTTAAATAAACTAAAAATATTTTTTTACACTATTATCCGATTATAGATAAAAATGTATATATATATAATAAAATTATTACATTTAATAATTGTTCTTACCGGAGATCGGTCATAGGGGACGATCTGCTGGGTAAGATCAGTGAGTCTCCTTCACTAGGTACGCTTGCTGTTCCAAGGCGGGAGTGGTACCTGCAAAAAGACTCCAATACTAAAGTTAGTGTTTGTGGATGTATGGATCTCGTATAAGTAATGCACGTATTTTAGTGTGAATTAGAGTTTTATTGGACCTTGGGCCTGAGATCAATTATGACCTATTTGAATGTCGGGCTGACGTCGCCTAGCGCGTGTTCGAGGTCACTTCACGTTATGATGCCGAGCTCGAGCTCGGCATAGCGATACGTATAATTCAATAATAATCATTATTTTTAACTTATACAATGCATAAGATAAATAATTATTTGTAAAAATTAAAATTAAAATAAATAAATATTTTTAAAATATATTATATTTTAATTAAAATTTATAATAAATAAATATTTTTGAACATAGAAGTTAAATTTTAAACTTATGTTAATTTATATTATGATATAAAGTTATTTCTATTTATTAATATTTCTTTTATAAGAGAAGAAATCAAAGTATACTAGTTTAACTTTTATAAATTATTACACTTTAAACCATTAATAATTTTCTATTAGATATAAATTTTACTGATTTAATCATTAAATTATAACTTTATATTATTTTGAATGTTTATGTTAATTTTTTTTTTAAATTTGAAAGATAATAAAAAGTCAATCAAGTTATTTATATTTTAGTATATTTGAAAAATATATATTGGATTGATTTTCATATATGTTTTTAAAAAATATAATTAATTTAAAATTATTAAACAGTATAATAGTTATTAAAAGTTATGTATTAATTAATGTAATTTGATCCTTGTCTTTATTAAAATATTGAAATTCAATTTAGGAAAAAAAATATGAAAATGATAGTTGAGAGATATAAGCAGTTAGATTTTTTTTTAAAATATGGTTTTATAAAAAAATAATAATTTAAAGACACTCCCATTCAATGATAAATTCTAAAAAAATTTACATTCAAAATAACAAATAAAATTATCTTAACAATTTTTTTTAAAATATTTCTAATCAGTTGTTAGTGTGAGTTTTTTTTCTTTCTAATTTTTTTGATACAGTTTTTTCTTTCTTTCTAATTACTAATGATAGAAAGATGATTTATGATTGTTATTTTAATATTTTTTTTTCCTTCATAATATTGAAATTCAATTAAAAAAAATGAAGAGATTATAATAAAATAAGATAATTATCCTATCTTATTATATCTTAATCAGAAATGGACTTTAAATAGTTAGATCTAAAAATATTTTTGTTGAGAAAAAAAATTAAGAATGCTGTCATTGAGTAATAATATATATTCATTCAAATTAGATATTTATTTAAACATAGAAAAAATCATATTAGAAGTTATCTATTGAAGAACTTATGATTTGTTGATAGTTTAAATTCTAAAAATGCGTGACACTGGTATTCAATTTTATATGTTAAAATATTAAAAGAATGATATGCAGTATACATTCAGCCATTGAAAACTCATTATAAAGATAAAGATAGTAATTGGTTTATTATCTTTCATCTCAGCATCTGCCACCTTTGACCAACCAGCCCTCCTCTTTGGAACTCCAGTCCACCGCATGCCTCCAAAAACTCAAGACTTGGGATTTTTTTTTCTTTTAGTAATTCATTTTACTGGACAGACAGAACCCAATAATAAAAAAGTTTTTGTTTTATCTGTAAAAAGTGAAAGGATTTAGTTTTAGCAGTAGTGGTCATAATAATAATAATAAAATTAATCATTTATATGTTATTGGTGTAAATTTTTTTTATACTGATAATTAATTATATTTTTTAATTATGTTATGTCACTGTAAATATATTTATTTTTAACGGTGATATGATATAATTAAAAGATATAATTAGTTTTGAATGTAAAAATTGACTAATTAAATAATAATAATAATAATAAAAAAGAAAAAGTGAGGGTTGGTTGTTTGATGTTTGTTGTGGTTAGTGAAATAAAAAAAGAGTAAAGCGATGGATAGGTACATAAGATGAGGTGATAATTGAAGAAAGATTGGTATAGAAGAGAAGAGGGTAAGGAGGTTATGTATTTATAGAGTTTGTATTAGTTGTTATATGGTGTGATGAATGAAATTGAGGTGTTTACAGTGAAAGCAGTTAGTGAAACAGCGTGGTCTGGCGAGTGGCGAGTGGCGAGTGGCGAGAAACAAGAGCAATTGGTTACATGGAGAGTTGAAAGGTCCTAACCTATATATGGAACAGAATCGACCCTTTTCTCCAACACCTCACGCTCTTCTGCATTTCTAATTAATCATTGCATTTCTGAGAGCAAAGCACAATGGCAACGCTTAACGCCTCATGCCCAGCACCCATGAAGGCCACCTCCAACGGCGCCTTTCAACACGAGAACCCTCTCGACTATGCACTTCCTCTTTTAATTCTTCAGATCTGCTTGGTCGTTACTTTTACCAGATTCATTGCATTCCTTTGCACACCCCTTAGACAACCCAGAGTCATTGCTGAGATCATCGTAAGTTTTTCATTTCTTTTTTTTTTTATTTTTATTATTATTACCAAATCCCACTCCTTTTCTTATTATTATTTTGATTCTTCATTCTCTGCTTGCTGTGTAATTCGGGAATTCTCGTGTGTTTATGAGTGAAATGAGAAGATAGATTTAATAATAGAATAAAGGTGTGGTTATAGAGACACTATGCATTATTTGGTTCAGAACTGAATCAGAGAGGAATGGAATAAATAAGAAAAATAGAAATAAAAGACAAATACAATGAAAATTATGTATTCTTTGAACGGATACAAATAAATAAAACAAATAATTCTATTAATTTACATTTTATTATTTTTTAATATAATTTTTTTTATTGTAAATAATACTCTTACAAAAATATATTTAATTTCATTTTTAAGGAATTCAAGAAATACAGAAGAGGTATAATTATGTTTTTTTTTCTTAACATATTTATTTATATTAAAAAAATGTGTTTAATTTTAAAATTTAAAATAAAAATTTTCAAATGTAAAATAATATTTTTTATTGTCATGTTTTTTCACTTTTTTTTTTTTTTTCCCAATTCATTCGTCTTTAAAAAAATAATTAAAAGAAACGTAGTGTGTAACGAGCATATACATACATAGTTGACTGATTTTATTGTTGTTTCGTGGGAATTAATAAAATGCAGGGAGGAATACTGCTTGGACCATCTGCAATCGGACGAAGCGAGAAGTTCCTAAACACAGTTTTCCCAAAGAAAAGCATAACAGTTCTTGACACGATAGCCAACATTGGGCTATTGTTCTTCTTGTTTCTAGTGGGTCTTGAGCTTGACATGCGTGCCATTCGTCGTACTGGTCATAAGGCCTTAGGCATTGCCCTTTCTGGGATCACAGTGCCTTTTGTTCTTGGCATTGGCACTTCTTTTGCTCTTAGAGCCACCGTGTCCAAAGGTGCTGAGCCAGTTCCCTTTCTTGTCTTCATGGGTGTTGCTCTCTCAATCACTGCCTTCCCTGTCCTTGCTAGGATCCTGGCTGAGCTCAAACTCCTCACCACTGATGTTGGTCGCTTAGCCATGTCAGCTGCTGCTGTCAATGATGTTGCAGCTTGGATTCTTCTTGCTCTTGCCATAGCCCTTACTGGCTCCAACGCATCCCCCTATGTTCCAATTTGGGTCTTGCTCTCGGGTGCTGCTTTTATTCTCTTTGCTGTCTTTGCCATCAGGCCCTTGCTAGTAGCTATGGCTAACCGTTCCCCGGAGGGTGAGCCAGTGAAGGAGTTGTACATATGCATCACATTGACAATAGTTTTGGCTTGTAGTTTTGCCACAGATACTATTGGAATTCATGCCCTCTTCGGGGCTTTTGTGGTGGGCACAATTATGCCCAAAGAGGGTTCCTTTTCCAGGGTCTTGATTGAAAAGATAGAAGACCTGGTTTCTGGCCTTTTCCTGCCACTTTACTTTGTGTCTAGCGGTTTGAAGACCAATGTGACAACTATTAAGGGAGGGCTTTCTTGGGCAATGTTGGTGCTTGTTATATTCAATGCTTGCTTTGGGAAGATTATTGGCACAATCGTTGTGTCATTGATATGCAAGATACCTTCTAGAGAAGCACTGGCACTTGGATTTCTCATGAACACAAAGGGTTTGGTAGAGCTCATTGTTCTCAACATTGGGAAGGATCGTAAGGTATATATAATAATATATCCACTCATAATAACAAACAGTGATTTTCTTTGGCTCACGCACGTGTATTTTAATTGTTCTTGCAAACGACTGATTCATTCTTATATTTGTTTGTGAATCGTTCTTCTTGCAATGCAGGTGTTGAATGACCAAGCATTTGCCATTTGTGTTCTCATGGCATTGTTTACCACCTTCATCACCACCCCAATAGTGATGGCTGTATATAAACCTGCTAGGAGAGGAGCACCTTACAAGCACAAAACAATTCAGCGCAAAGCTCCTGACTCTGAGCTCAGAATGCTAGCATGCTTCCACACCAGCCGCAACATTCCTACGTTGATCAATCTGATAGAGTCTTCCCGAGGAATTCGAAAGAGAGGAAAGCTTTGCATATATGCCATGCACTTGATGGAACTTTCAGAGCGATCTTCAGCAATCACAATGGTTCACAAGGCACGCAAGAATGGCATGCCCTTTTGGAACAAGAAAGAGGATGACAAAGATCAAATGGTCATTGCTTTTCAGACTTATGAAAAACTGAGCAGTGTGAATGTGCGTTCTATGACAGCAATCTCTGCTCTCAGTAGCATCCATGAGGATATATGTACTAGTGCTCATCAAAAGCGTGCAGCCATGATTATTCTTCCATTCCACAAACACCAACGTATGGATGGATCAATGGAGTCACTAGGACATCAATTCCAAGTGATAAATCAACTTGTGCTGAGCCATGCTCCTTGCTCAGTGGGAATTTTGGTTGATCGGGGTTTTGGAGGGACAAGCCAAGTGCAAGCTAGTGACGTGTCTTATAAGATAGTTGTACCCTTCTTTGGAGGACGTGATGATCGTGAAGCACTTTGTTATGGTATGAGAATGGCTGAGCACCCGGGGATTTTGCTCAATGTGGTGAAGTTTGTGCCTCCACCTGGGAAATCATTGGCCTTTGGTGCTAAATTGGTTGGGGTGTCATCAAACGAGGACAAGAAAGCAATAGATGTGGTTGGTGACAGTGTTGACGATAAACAACAAGATGATCAATTGTGGAGTGAGTTTTTAAATGCATGCAGCAACAACCAAGAGTCAATGAAGCATGTGCAAAAGCTAGTGGAAAGCAAAGGTGATATTGAGGCAGCACTACAGGAAATGAATAAGAGCAATCTAATATTGGTTGGTAGAATGCCCGCAATACCACCTTTGGTTAGCAGAAGTGATTGTCCAGAGCTTGGACCTGTTGGAAGCTACATGGCTTCTTCAGGTTTCTCCAGTGTTACATCAATTATGGTAATTCAACAATATAATCCCTCAACTGACATTCATCCGCTAGTGATGGAGGAATCTGATTACCCAGATATGTCAAATTAAAGCTTAAGATGTGAATTGGTTATAACACAAACAAGATGAATCGGTGCATATAATTTACCACTACTTTTGCCCAAAAAAAATATAGGCACAAAGTTCACACAAGCGTATACCCTTTTAGATGCATGATGCTTTTTACAAAAGTAAGAGTAGCAGAATAATTTAGGAGTCCTTGGTAGGGATTTTTTTCTTTCTTTCATGGGAATCATGATTTTCGAAAGTTACAGACTTTTGGAAATCATGGTTTTGAATGATTACTTAGGGTTTAAAGAAAATAAAGCGAGGTAAGAGAAAAGAAAGTGGAAGGATGATTTTTTGGGATTAATCTTATGAAATATTTGTAATTGTATGACCAACTGTCAATTGAAATAAATAGCTAATTTATCTCTTACAAATGAGGATTCAGTTGATTTTGTAACTTGTCAAATAGTTCCAATTTTTGTCAAATTAAATTTAAATTTTAATATTTAATGTAACATGATTTGATTTTTACTATTTTTTCTTAATTGTTATATGTATTGTAAGTTTGTAACTAGTGTGATGTGCTGTAAAATAAAATAAAATAAAATAAACTAGTGCGGTGTTTTGTGCACACGAGACACGAGATATGTATTATCTTTTGTCTATTTTGAAATAAAATTTCTTGTTTGTATTTCAATTATTTATGTGGCAAAGATTCTGAGAAGAAAAGGTAAAATATTAGATTTTTTTTTGTTTGTATTTACAGAAAGGATTTGAGGATGGTTTACATTTTCATCAAGTGCATATGTATTTTTCATATTTTAGGAAAATTTTGTTAATAATTTTTTTATTATTAAAAGGAAAAATAAATAATGAATGCAATACTATTAATTTTGTTAAGATTAACGAATAATATTTTACTTTTTTTTTTCTAATATTCATAAAAATATGTATCTGATTATCACAACAAACACTTCTCTATATATTGTAAATTTTTCACTTGCTTCAAATAGTTTTTTTTTTATTTTTATTTCCTTGACTACATGGCGAAATTTAGTGTCAATTTACAGTTGGGAAGAAAAAAGATTGGACAATTGCATTGTCATTTGAGAATATATACGTATTAAGATAGAAATAACCATCGGTTACATTGATCATTCACAAATTAACATTCTCATTCTAATCAAATATATAATTATATTTTTTTTTTGTCTTGTACTATATTTAATATATATATATATATATATATATATATATATAT